CATGTCCAATTATTAGTAGTCTTTTTACAACATGGATAATAGGAAATCAATGTGAATGTAGCTCGGTTGGTAGAGTGCTTGTCCAGTATACATGAAGCTCTGGGTTAAATCCCCAGTATTCCATAAAATGGACATAGAGGCTAATGTCCATAACCTCAGAACCTGAAAGGTAGAGGCAGGAGGATCAGGGATTCAAGGTAATCCTGGGCTACATGGTGAGTTTAAGGCCATCCTGGGCTATGTAAAACCCTACCTCAAAAGAAAACAACAACATAACAAAAAGCAGGAAATTCATGACATTCATATGGTCACAGAGCTATGAATGAAATACCAGACCATTAGCCAAAATATGACTCTAAACCACATTTAAATACAGATTTCATATGCATCTGTTAGTGTATACTCTTAGGGCATTCTTTCCCACCCATTATGTCGTATCACTATTTAACATTTGTCTTTGGACAGGAAGCATCAGTATCCCCTGGAAGGTTGTTACAAATATTTCACTCAGAACTAAATCAGAATCTGAACACCAATAAGACACCCAGGTAACTTTGATACGTGTCAACATTTGAGAGGAAGGTGAAATCTGCAAGAAGATCTGCTTTTTCTGATCCATTCTCTGCCAATTTGGTCAACTTGGACAAAAGTAATCTTTTTGAGTTCTTTTGTTCTCAGAAATGACATATCATAATGACCACCTATGTTTCAATAGTGACAGAAGTCTGGAATGATAACATGTAAGGAAGCCGCCAGCAGCCTGAATGACATGCAAAAGGGATGCATGGACAGACATGACTACAGAAATTGAGTACTGTCCCTACAACTACCACTTCATTCACACTTCTGATAGGCTCCGGATATCTGAAGAGGATATACCTCTTATCTGAAAGTAGTCCATTGCTCTCAGAACAGAAGGTTGAAACACTGCCCAAAATAGTTCCTTCCACCTTGTCCTCTTCAGTTTCTCCTGATTCTTCTTACAGACATTAGGGGCACCCAGAACCTTCAGAATGAGGCTGTGAACCAGACAGGTGAAGAAAACCCCTGATTTTACAAGTTTAAGTTCACATGGGCCCAAAATAAAAACAATACTTGAAAGTAGAATAGACTCAATTAAGGAGGGTAGAGTGTAGATTCTGAACTTTTTGAAATAAATGTCATTGTCAGTCATAGAGGCATGCACCCATAGTTGCTGAACTCAGGAGATTGGGAGGCAGGCAGAGTTCCAGGCTAGCCTTGAACATAATGAAACCTTGCTTGTCTAAATGCAAAAATAAAATAAAATAAAATAAAATAAAATAAAGGCAAGAAAAATAAAGGGAAAACATGGGAAGATGTGGGAAAAGAAGGGAACTTATATGGAATTAGGGAAGTACACAATATAGATGGGGTCATGGCTGGCAGTCTAGAGATCCTTCAAGAGCTAATAGTCCAAGTGCAAAGACAGGCAGAAAAAAGAAAAAGAAGAAGCCAATGCATCCATTTGCTGACAGGTAGATGGGAGGATTCTGCACTTATTTAAGTGTTGTAGCTTATTTGGTCTCTGGCAGATTTGATGATGCCCACATAAATAAGGGAGGGCAATCTGTTTTACGGCTGTCATATTCAGCATCAGTGTTAAACTCACTGGTACAGGCCCTCATAGAAACAATCATAGAAACTGACCAAATACTGAGCACCCTATGGTCTTCTCAAAGTGGTCCTATAAACACTTACTTTTGGTTTTTCCAGGTAAAGATACCACACCAGTTCTCATTGGATTCTAGAATCGGTGTATCTAAGGAGTTTAAAGGGAAAAATTTCAATACAGTTAGGCTTGGTTATATGAATACCATGGTACATGATCCTTAATTTTTCTCACTGTGTGTTGGAACATGGAAAACTCTGCCTGGGTGAAATGAGTCAGAACATTGGTGTTAGATAACCACTAGTCAACGTCAGAAAGCCTTGGAAGGAGTGTGATAGGGAGAGGCCTCTACACTGTGGTGATGCTGGAGGATGTGCAGGGAGTGAGATGAGAGAGGGAGGCAGGGGTCACTTACCCTTGGAGATTTTAAAATCTCTTAAACATTGGTAGAAATAATATGAGGTCCTGGCTTTTAAATACCAGGAGCTTAGGATGACCCAACTAAGCAGATCAGTGAAAAGACAAAATTCAAATAGCTCTTCCTGAGCTCAGCCCTCAAGCCCAGCTGAGGGAAGATATTTTGGACAGGTATTTTGGAGGCCATACCAGCATGGCTCTTGGGACTCTCCAGTTGTCAGAAATTTTTGGTTGCCCCCTTTATCCTCAGAAGGAAAAGAAATAAGGTGAAAACTACTTAAAAGTAAAGCAAAAGAAAATGCTACATTAAGTCCTTTGCAAATAGTCACATAGAAGGATATAAATTATTACAATACTACTACTTTATCCAGGAATGTATTTCTCTGTAATGTTGTATTTGTGAAGGTTTCACTTCAGATGTGTTAAAACTGACTGCTTCTAATGTCTAAACCTTGCCCCTCTCTGTCTCATATCACCTGAATGAAGAGGCACATTGTAAAAGGGGTCAAAACATCACATGACTATGGGATTTAGCAATTGATTGATGCATTAAAGGATTCATGTTACAGTAGTGTGGACACTAACTTGAAGGTGTTCAAATGCCATTAAACTCGTAGGCACTAACCTGGCTTAAGACAACCAGAAAAAGAAATCTCTAACCACAGAAAATTTCATGACTTTGAACCTTCTGTAAATCGTAGCTTGAACTTGATCTTTAGGGAATGGTGAATGTAGCCATGCCTCTTCATTCCTTTCATGGTAACATAATCATAGCTCAACCTATTTGTTAAAGAGAAGATCACAGCCTTATCATTCATTATCTTCTCCACAGGGATGTGTCTCAATGGAATCTCATTTCAGTAGTTACTATAGGAATGCATTTTGCATACTAAACTCATGTTCAATCAAATCTAATGTAAAGGTTATTCTTAATATAGATGAGCACACTAACAGCTCTAATTTCACACTCTTGTGCTATTTCTTAGCCAAGGAAATTATGACTGACTTTCTGTGTAATTATAGGTACTGCACTAATGGCTTATTTACACTTGTAATCTCTCATCCATGTTCTCTGAAGAGCCATTTTTACATTAGTCCTTGTTTGCTGAAGAACTTCAGGCATCAGAACAGTGTTAATTAAGTAAATGTAATGCAATTCTACATGGATCATGTTCATTTAAAATTGTATTATGGACATGTGATGGAATTACTTTACCCTTTTGTTTTTCTGTTTTTTTTTTTTTCCCTGTGTCTGAGTATTTTCCTGAGTCTATGCATGTGCATCTGGTGTGTTTCTAGTGGCTTTAGTGGCAAAAAGACGGTGTCAGATCCCCTGGACTGGACTCACAGGTTATTGTGCTGGAAAACTACTATAGCGCTCAGTAAGAGGAGTAAGTGCTGAGCCTTTTGCTCCAGGACCAAGATTATTCTTTCTTGTGGGAAACGATGCCCTTTCTTTTGGATGATGAGCATTTGTCATGAGGTCTGACAAACCTGGACCATTTTTATTTGGGTATAACACCCCTATCTGCTGTATTTGGTTATAAGGATGAACTGGCCTTGTTTTCTATTCACAAGAAATGACCTGTGGCAGGCATGGACGGGGAGGTGACAAGGGTCTTGGCTATTTCCCCCAAACCAGTTTTTCCCTGGGGATTTTCAGCTGACTTGAAATTGGAAGGGATACTCTCTTTCTTTCTCTGTGCAAAGCAGAAAACAGTGAGCAATGAGCCATTGCTCCACTATCAGCCAAGATTCTGACCCTCAGCTCTACTCACATTTTCTGTGCACTGACTCCTCATTATCAAAGGCTATCCTGGGTATTCCAGGGCATTTAACAGCATCTCTGGCCTCAGCCTGTTTGGTGCCAAGAGCACTCTCCTCCCCACAGTGTGGCCGCCAAAAGTACATCTGTGCTCTGCTGGATTTCCTCTGAGGATCAAAATGGCCCCCAGCTGAGAATCCCAGATTTAGCCTCATGGAAAGGAGACTCAATGGTACCAGCCAATTGTTTTATCCTCAGAGACCTGAGGATAAAGACAGAGGTAAACAGGGGAGCTCAGAACCAGTTTTGTCCTGTTCCTCATGGGTACATGAATGGATTAATTCTCTCCGCCCCCCCCCTTTTTTTTAGTTTGATTTGTCCTTTTCTCAAATGTAATAAGAACTGAAAGCAAAAGCCAGGCAGTGGTGGTGCACACCTTTATTCTCAGCACTCACACTCGGGAGGCAGAGGCAAGGGGGTCTCTGAGTTCAAGGCCAACCTGGTCTACAGAGTGAGTTCTGGACAGCCAGAGTTACACAGAGAAACCCCAAAAGCCAAACCAACCAAACAAAGAAAAACACAAAATTAGAGAAAGATATGAGAAAACTAACCCAGATGGCAGTTAAAAAAAATCAATCAACGGGTTTTGATTAAAGCATAGATTAACCTATAACATATGAAAAGCTAAACAATATTCAAAACAAGCAATAGTGGATTTTGGAAAAAGGGATTTTTGAATTGAGTCATTCATTGAATATGTGACATCCTAAACACATTCCAGGCTCCAGAGTGACATAAGCTTACTTTCAAGGTAGTCTTGGTTGGTACAAGAAGGCCTATTTGTGTGTACATGTGTTCATTCTCCGGGATGGATATTAAGTCCTGATTTTTCTGTATAAAATTCATTTGTGTGGGGATATATTGGGATATATCTTTGTGTTTATCTGCTTTTGGAAAAATACACCAAATAATGTTTCCTATTAAGTCAATTCTGTGTTCCAGACCACCCTGAGCTGCAAAGTGAGACCTTGTCTTAAAAAAACAAAGTAAATAAATAGAAAAAAAAGGAGAAATATAAGTAATGATCATGGGATCCTGCATCTGTGAACAGAACAGACTGAACAGTTAGATGTTAAACCTCACAGCTACCCTCCCTGCCCTGGCCTTGTCTTCTCCATAGATAAGTAAGTTTGTGTGTGTGTGTGTGTGTGTGTGTGTGTGTGTGTGTGTGTGTGTGAGAGAGAGAGAGAGAGAGAGAGAGAGAGAGAGAGAGAGAGAGAGAGAGAGATTTTTTTAAAATAGAGTCTCATGTAACAAAGGCTAGTTTCAAACTTGCTATGGAGCCGAAGGTTACCTTCAAAGAAAGTCTTGATTCCCCTGCCTCCACCTTAAGTACTAGGATAACAGGCTTGTGCCACGTCACCAGTTTATGTGGGGCTAGTGATTACACCAGGGCTTGGTGAGTGAATGGAAGACGAACATTCTACCTATGGAGTGACCCGGTACTTGGAAGGAAGAGGCAGGTGTATCTCTATGAATTTAGACAGGCTAACCTACATAGCAAGTCCCAGGCAGCCAGGACGGCAGAGTGAGACTCTCTCAAGTCTTCTGTTCTGATTGATTATTTGGTTAAGGTAACATGTTTATAGTTTTTCTCCAGGAAACTGAAATGAAAAGAGGGAGTGGACTCTTTAGAAAGAACTGGACTTCCTGCATCCAAGCAACTGTATAAGTTAGAAATGTTTTATAGTAACAGCTGTTTTCAGAATATAGTGTGACTTTCATTGATTCCATGTAATAGTTATTGGTATGTACTCCACTCAAACCATGGTCTGGTTTTTTTCTTTTTTTTTTAATTTGTTTTGTTTTGTTTGTTTTATAAAAAGCTAATTGCTTTGAGGAAAGTGAAGGAAACCTATGCTTTGGCAAGCCATTTCTGAAAGAGGCCATGTGCTACTACAAAGTGCACTAAACGTTCTTCATCACTGTGGACCAGAAGTACCCACAGCACGGCCTCGTAATAGGTAGGCTCAAGATGCTATAAGCTTAAAAAAAATAAAAGCTGCCTGTGAGTTGTAAAGATATGCAGAAAATTATCAAAAAAAGAATCCATTTGTTAGTGTGAATGAGATTCTATGAAGATTTCTAAATAATAAGACAATAATTTAAGCCTACTTCGTAAAAATCTTACATTGTTGAAAACAAGTACTTAATTTTTAACAAAATTTTAAGCAATTGTTATTAATATTCAATCATTTTGTACATTTCTTTCAAATTCTTAATATCAATGTAGATTATGGTGGCATTAAAGTGTATGCATAATGTTGATAATGGATATTGAATTCATGTTACAAACTGTTTCAAAGGTGTGACCTCTGACAGAAAAAGAACACATCATAGATACCAATTTTTTATTAAAGATTTTATTAAAACCAAGTCTTTACAACATATTGAAAAATGTAATGTTCCACAGTCAAATATGTAAGAAAAAAACTCTATATGTAATTAATAGCACATAAATTTAAGAACAAAATTAAAATTACACTAATCTTTCTATTCATATAGACATAGATAAATATCTATCCATATAACAGATCTATAGATCTATAGCATATACATCATATAATAGACCTATATATCTAGATAGATATGTTTATATCACAAATTCACGTTGATGACCTGGAATACCTGAGTTTTTAAGTTGTTGGTTTTCCAGACAGTGCAAAATCAATTGTCATCCACTCTATAAAGGGCACAGCCAATCCAGAAAAAAACAACTTTGGTTGATAGACGCTGTCTCTCAAAGATCAAACAGGAGTCTTTGATAGGATTAAATTTTATCTTCAGAGTCTTCTTCCAAAGGGAGGTCAGTCTGTGATGAGAGGAATGATTCCCACGTAGCAAGGCACTGTGTAACAGAAACGCCATGAGAGGGATCAGCTGTAGTTGTTGTCCAGTATTGAAATGATTAATAATGCATCCCAGTACACACATTCCTACAGCAATCTGCCCTACTTCCCCTGTCAGCTTGAGAGTAGCTGTCATTTCTTAGATATTTTAATCTCCCCCTCCTGTGTGTGTGTGTGTGTGTGGTGTGTACATTTTACACAGATGTAGACATTTTCATTGTGCTTCCACAGAGGCCATTGGCTGTCTTCTTTAATTGCTCTCTATATTGCTTTTTGAGACAAGATCTCTCATTGAACATGGCCTTCACTAACTTGGTTTGACTATGTGGCCAGCAGACACCATAGATTCTTCATTCTCCACCTGTCTAGCACTGGGATGACAGATGTGTGTCTCTGCTCCAGGCTTTTTAGGTGGGCTGTCTTGGGTGTGCATGCTTGTGCAGCAAGCTCTTTACCAATTGAACCATCTTCCCAGCCTGGTATTCTAATTCTTAATGAGAGCTACTATTACCAAATAAGAGGAAAACACATCAAAGGCTGAAAGAAGAGCTTGCTAAAACAATCCATTGCTATCCCCACTGACAGAAGAGAAAAGGGAGCTCAGATTTACTCACTCGGACCTGAAAAGGCGCACACTGACATCTAGACCCGGTGATGACGCAAAAAAGTTTAGGTGCCTTAGGCTTTCATGACATTAGGTATGAGGCATGTATGTTTGCAACACTGCATACACTTCATGCACACTGCCTAGTATGAGAGAGTTCTGAAAAAGCTATCTGTTAATTTATTATGTGCTGGGACTGGGTGGTGAGACTCAATATTTAATGGTTAAAACACCATTAAAATTATGGAACAAATAAATACATATAGCACACCAACAACAGGGGGAAAATAAATCATATAAAAGTGTCTATTAATCCCCCAGAGCCAGAAAGAAAAGGGAAATAATGAGATGAATAAAAAATAACAGAAAGGCAACACACTCAAACTTAATCCTGTCAATAGTCAATTTAAATGTCTATAGAGTACACATCTCAATGAAGGGGATAAATTGTGAACAGAAAACTAAGACTCACCTGTACTTTATATAAATTTCTTTTAAGTATTTAAAAAATAATGGCAAAATGAAAAATGACATGTGTGTGTGCACAAAACACACGTCAAAAGAAAAATAATAATACTACATTAGTATTAAAGACTTCAGAAAAAAAGATCCTTATCAAGATAAGGATGATCTATTACAGCAGTAAATCTGGAAATTCAAGATACATTAAACAAAAACAGAGCAATACAAGAAGGGCAAACATATTTATGATTTGTTTTGAGGTCATCTTATGTGTAACGTGTAGAGAGAAAAACATTGACAAAAACTTGAAGCACATGATCAATTAACTTAGCCTAATGCATATCTAAAGAACAAAACCAGAAAACACATCTTTCATGCACTACATTCTGGAACATGAGAAATCTCAATAGGCTAGTGTGGTGGCACATGCCTGTAATTCCAACACACAGGAGACTGAGGCTTGAGAACTGCGATTTGTTTGTCCAGGCTGCATAGTGAGTTTCAGGCCAGTCTAGGCTACTGAATTAGGCCCTATCTCAAATAATATTTATACATACAAGATTCAAGCCACATGAATTATGACCTCTGAATACTGTGGAATTTAATTAGAAATGAGTAAGAGAAGCAACCATGAAAGCCCCCCAAGTATTTGCAATCTAAATAGGAGAATTTTAAATACTGCTGGACCACAGAGGAAACCAAAAGTGAAATAATGAAGTGTTTTAACTGAATGAAAAAGAAATCACAATATATCAAAAACTTCTACATACCACTAAATACCACTAAGGGAGCAAACAGAGAAATTCTAATTGCCTCCATTAGAGAAGAAAAGGTCTCCAATCAATGCATTTAATTTCTACTTTAAAAACCAAAAAAGCAAGAGCAAAGTAGCTGACAGCAAACATATTAAAGCCAAAGTAAGCAGCAGTGTGTGCATGTATGTTCATGTGCATGTTTGTGTGGGTAAATCAGAGCAGGAATCCATAAAAGACAATGGGAAAAAACAGAGGAGAAACAATGGCACTAAATGTCGAATCTTTGAGAAGATTAGTAATGCTATTAAAGTGCCTTACTAATCACGAAAAAGGAAGATGGTACAGAGTTATAGAACTTAGTGGTACAACAATTGCCTAGCATACACAAGGTCCTAGGTTCAATCCCCCACACTGGGACAAGGACAAAGGAAATATGAGAAGAGTTATCAGGAGGGAGAGACATCAGCTCAGATGCCTCTGACTTCAAGAAGGCAACAGTACAAGCTTTGTGCCTTGGCCCTTGAAATCCAGATGAAATGGAACAATGGCCAATTACTCAAAAGGCAAAAAATCACCAAAGCAACTGCAAGAGAAAAAAAGATAACCCAAAGGAATTCAAACTGAAAGTTAATTTTCACCCTGAAAATAATTCAGTGGTGAATTCCATGAAAAGTTTAAAGACATCATACCAGTTCTGTACAAATACAAATAGAATAGAAGACACAGGAGAGCTTTCTAGGTCACTCAAATCAAAGACACTGTAGAAGAAAACTAGACTGATTTTAATCAGAAAAACAGACACAAAAATTCTAAAAAAAAAAAAAATAGAAAAAAGAAGTCAGAAATCTCATCAAAGATTTATATGTAATATACAAATGGATTTTATTCATGAAATGAAGGTTCAACATCACTGTCCACATTAAACACAGAATCATCTCAACAGATTCTGAAGAGCATTTGTCAAATTTCAAATTCATCCATTCCCAATTAAGACAACAATTTCCAGCAAACTGAGAATAGATGAGAATTCTATATATTGAGAAGGAAAATCTGTAAAAACAAAACCCTATAGTTTATCTCTTATGCAGATATACAACAAATATTGGTTATTTAAGAATATATTCTTTCTTCTTGACGTACACTCAAGTTTCAGGTCTGTTTCACCAAATGTAAGTAAAAAATGACAGAAGAACACAATGAGAAGTCTGAGCCACAACCTGGCACACAGGCTGGGAGAGGCACCTTTCCTGCAAACCTTTTGGTTGCACTCTTGCCCCTCCTCTGGGAGGTCACCCATAACCAGCAGCTATTAACCCTGCAGGGCCATCCAAAGCATTTACTGCTTTCAGATAAATAGCATATCTTTTTTGACAACTCAGCCCAAACTACCACTTAAATAAACTGACCATCCCCCAGGTAAAAGTCACAATGAAATTCCAAGCAGCTTTTTTTGTTTAGAATTCACATCAAATAAAGACTCTGAATGGTACCAAGAATGGCACTGGTCCTTGCTGTGGATATCGATCTTTCTGTACGCTGTGAAGGTGTTGCTCTGATTGACTGATAAACAAAATGCTGACTGGCCAACAGCCAGGCAGGAAGTATAGTGTAGGCAGGATAAGGAGAGAGGACAACTGTAGGAAGTGGAAGGCTGAGTCAGGAGATGCTGCCAGCCTCCGCCATGAGAAGCAAGAGTAAAGTACCCGTAAGCCACAAGCCACGTGACAATGTAGAGATGAATAGAAATGGATTAATTTAAGATATAAGAACTAGATAGCAAGAAGCCTGCCACGGCCACACAGTTTATAAGTAATATAAGTCTCTGTGTGTTTATTTGGGTCTGAGCGGGACTGGAGAAAACTCCAGCTACCGGTCCTCAACCAAATTCTCTCTTTTTTCACTGTCATATTGTACTTCAACTAAGCTAGTTTAATAAAGGTTGTGACATGCTAGCCACCCTCTATGCCAGTTAGTATGGTGAACCAACATTCATTTATAAAGTACTAAGGCTATTGAAACATGGTAAAGAGACATTAGCTATTGAGTAATTTCCTCGCCATCCTCCAACTGGGAGCAGAGAAAAGATGTTATGCATTTTGTTTACTGGAAATCACAGAACAACTTCTATAGGATAACATATAATCAACTAGATACATTGTTACGAGTACACAGAAGGCATTAAAATGGTTCTTTTATAAATCATAGGGCTTTTTTGTGCACAATTACTATCATCGACTCTAATTTACAAGTGAGGAAACTGAGGCTCATATAACCTAGGTACATTTAAAGCATTGTAAATAACCTGGGTACCATAGCTAATGTTTATTTATCAATATGTAAAGAATAACAGATCTCCTATATCACCACAGGGGTACATTTAATATGTCATTGGCAAACATGACGTCTCTCTTTTACACAGTGGAAGAAGGACTATTTGGGGAGGAGAAGTGTACAAGAAAATACAGGAGGTATCAGGGTGACCAGATTTTAGGAAAAGGATATGTATGAAATCTGTGTATATGGAAGCTGATTCTCTATTTATCTCATGACCATGCTCTACTTCCAGTAGTAGACATGCCCTTTGAAGATGATGGAGTCTAGATACATTGGGCACTCGGCTAGTGCTCAATGAAAACAGAGGGCTACACAGAGGGAGCACATTGAAAAACCAAAGCCAACATGCTGGTCAACATAAAAGCTGTTCTACCCTTTTCCTTGTAAACTAGTTTCCTGTTGCTGTGTAGTTTCTAAACGCGAAGTTTTGTCCTTCTGTCCTCTGGCCTCATTTCTGGTCTCAGGTTTATGTTCAAGGAACATTTGGGATCTGTAAAGTTAAGGATTTGATTTTGAACTATGTAACTCAAGATGCCACTCAGTCTCTTCAGGGGCTTTTAAAATTCTTCTAAATTGTTTTTTATTACACTTATTAATTGAACTATTTAATTGTGTGTGTCAGTGTGTGGTGCACATGAGACAGCATGTGTTTGGAAGGTGATAGAATTCCTTGCCACTCCCCCATGACCTCACATGAGCTGGCAAGCTGCCTGGTCATCCCGGGGCCTTACATCCTACATAATCTGTGCTCTGGGTGATCACGTAATTTGCCCCAGCGTGATCATGTAATCTATGCACATATGTGGCACAGCTATGAAAACCCATATGCGCAGGTGCAGGGGAA